TTTCCTTTTACTAACTTTAATTTCTTGATGCCTGTCTATCCTGTGTTTCAAAAATGGATGTAATATGTAGCGTCACTTGTCTTGGTTTTGTTATTAGGATTAGAACAAGTACGGTAGTGGATGTGATGATTATTAGTATGCCTAATAGACCTCTATTGTATTTTTATTATTCCAGATGAATACCAATTTATGCTAGCTCTTGGCCACCATTAGTAAACTATGTATTCCTCATTTGTCTCCTCTTTGCCAGGATAAAAGCATCATTAAGTCTCATCCTTTTTCTTTCCTTTCAAGGTTAGTAGAATAGTTATAATACCATGATAATTTCTGCATACTCAATGTTTAAAATAGAAACAATAAACTCATTTAGACTGTTTCTAATTATACATTATTGTAAAAGAAATCCTATTGTTATTTCAAATATATATAGGACGGATAAATAAAAACTGATGAGTGGATGTCCTGCTTGAAATGGTTTAGTAACTCTGCACTTTGGGGCTGGAGAGATGGCTCAGAGGTTAAGAACACCACATGCTCTTCCAAAATGTTCAATTCCCAGCAACTTTTATGGTGACTCACAATCATCTGTAATAAGATCTGGTGCCCTCTTCTGACTTGCAGGGATAGATGCAGGCAGAACACTGTATATAGAATAAATAAATTTTAAAGAAGAAAAAGAAAAAAATCACATTAAAAAAAAGAACCACATTTTGTTATTTTTCATGCACAAACACTGCTTTTAGAATGTGTTAGGTGGGTAATAGTTGGCTAGGAGCAGTACACTTAGCTATTTCAGAAGCATAATTCTTTGCCTTGCCTTTCTGTTCATTGTGTAAGAAAGCTCTGAGCTTTGAGGTCCTTGTTCCTACCATGGTTCATTACAGAGCTTGATTGATACCTTCTTTTTTAATCATGGATTTAAGTTTCAAATTAAGTAACTTTGTAAAATTTTTTAAATCCCCAAATGCTTATTAATTCTTAATAATCATAATATTTACACCAGTTTTCTCTAAAGATAAGATTCTTCTAAGAACAACATCGAGTTGCCTATCTTTTTCTTCCTGGGATAGTCTTACTAGGTAGTAGAGGCTGACCTGAAACTTGTGAGAAAATCAGGCTGGCCTGTGTCATCCTGTTAAGTCCTGCTATTACAAGTGTGCACCACCTGGCTCATTTTAATTTCACATCTTACTTTTTTAATTGTTTATCTACTTATTTAGGTTTTTTGTTTTGTTTGTTTGTTTTTTGAGACAGGGACTCTCTGTAGTTCTTGCCGTTCTGAACTCACTGTGTAGACCAGGCTGGTCTTGAACTCACAGAGATCTCCTTGCCTCTGTCTCCCATGTTCTCAGGTGTTGGTATTAAAGGCATGTGCCACCATTCCTGGCCCACATGTTGCTTAAAAAACAAAACAGAAACTTCACATGACTGTGAAACACTGTTCTAGGAGAGTTGTGTATTTTGATCATATTTTAATTTGGTTTAGGATTATTCATTTATATTGAGTAAAGTACCCCATAGGAACTTGCCTTTTTCCAAATTCAGACAGGAACTTTTTCCAATAACCATGTGACATGTTGCCTATAGAGTCTGATATACACAGTGAATGCAGTTTTAGTTGTGTTTCTATTTCTTTTATAAACTCCCCTAATGATAAGTAATTAATATATGAATCCATAATTCATTAATGGATAAGGCAAAATTGTTTTTCATTTATCACTATACTACAGAAAAATAAGGGTCACATGTCCTAAACCTACTGGTTGTTGTTTAGTCCTTGATACCAAATACTTAGTATCTAAAGCGTCTATATATTGGTGTCTAACCTTTATTGTACTCATTTTATTTTTATTTTTATTGTTTTTTGTTTTTTTTTGAGACAGGGTTTCTCTGTAGCTTTGGAGCCTGTCCTAGAACTAGCTCTTGTAGACCAGGGTGGTCTCGAACTCACAAAGATCCACCTGCCTCTGCCACCCAAGTGCTGGGATTAAAGGTGTGCGCCACCACTGCCCAGCTCTTTCTTTTATTTTACATAGTATCTGAAGTTATTGTAGTGGGAATTTTCAAAACTAGCATGTTTAGAATAAAACAGTGTAGGATTTTGACCTGTTGATCTAAAATATTCACTTAAATTCAGCTGCTTAAAGAGCCTGCCTCAGTAACTGGCATCTGCCACGTTTGTCAAAGACATTTTTAAGGTAGCATAGGGAAAGTGTGACTGGCACTGTAAGGGGCCATGTCACAGTGAAAGGTGTGCATTCCTCATGCAGAAAGCCAGTGTTCCGAGCCATGTTTGCAATTCATTCCAAGCTAGTCAGTTAGCTGTGGTCTTACTACACAGCTTTGGGGGGGGGGGGGGCGCGGCGAAACACCTGACCCTCGGTTTCTTCATGTATAAAGATTGTGTTGGATAACAACAACATTTGTGTCAAAGTCTGTGGCATTTTTGATGGTGTTTAGAAAAGCATAAATCTTTATATAGATGAATTTACAAAGTCAAATAATGAGCCAGGAAATTGTCATCAAAAGTACATTTCCAGACTGTGACGTGGCTGGTAACCTATCAAATTCTCTCCTATGCCTCTACAACTTTGGATTTAAAGTTTTAGACTCTGCCTACACTGCTCTTACTCTGTTTCACATGTTGATAATGGAGATGCCTGCAGAACTGTGCTGCACAGTGGCTTTGTTCAACTCTATCAACTGTAATAACGAATACCGTTTGTTATGTTTCAAAATATGCTGTGACCAGAATGTCTATTTGTGTCTCCAGTGCTGCATATAAAGATGAATTACAGAGAGCGTTGCACCAATTACATTTGTAAAAGATTTGTAGCTTGCTTATTTCAGATGTTATTGTGACTATTGAAATTGGTTTAATTTAACCAATTTAATTTAACAGCTTAGGATTGTTTAGTCTTAAGTAAAAAACCTTGAAAGGTTCAACTGCAATACCCTGTCTTGATACTAAAATAGAAGCTAGATACTGGGAGTTGAACATTGTTATAATTTATTGGTGGACTGTATAGACTTTTTATCTTTTACACTAGTCATGTCAAGGAAGTTGGTATTTGTATTCTTGGTTTCAGAATTTGCCCATAAAAACAAAGAGAACATTTTCCTAAGCTTATTTATGTCAAATACAAAGCAAATTGAATTAAAGTGTGTACATTTAAAAAACTGAGCCTGGCAGTGGTGGTGCACGCCTTTAATCCCAGCCCTCGGGAGGCAGAGGCAGGCGGACCTCTGTGAGTTCAAGACCAGCCTGGTCTACAAGAGGTAGTGCCAGGACAGGCTCCAGAACTACTGAGAAACCCTGTCTTGAAAAAACAAAAACAAACAAAGAAGAACACTGCTGTCATCAGTGCTCTCCCCAAGCTCACAGAAAGAGGGGGAAGGATAGATGCACGGGGGCTTCAGAATGACTGATAACATCCAAGAGTAATGCATGAGTTTTCCTTTCAAAATTTTTCTCATCAGTAAAATAACTGCTGGACTTGGTGATGCACACTGAGACAGAAGAATTGGGAGTTTGAGGTCAGCCTGCTTTTACAAAGTAAAACTTATGTCAGAGTTTTGTAGCTTCATCATATACTGTGCATGCTATTTATAAAGCGGGACTAGATTATCTTTTTTTACCACTGTGAAGACAGATTTTCTTCCTTCCATTTGGAAATGAGTTACCAAGGTTTCCAGGTATGCTGTTGTCTGAAAGTACCATCCACCCCTCCTCTGTAAACTTGATGCTGCTTTCTCTTAGCTCACAGTTGTTTATCTATTTCACCTAAGTTTTCAAATTTACGTATTTTATAAATTATCTGATGATCTTCACTAAGTTCTTCTTGCTCTGCCTATGTCCCTTTTTCACTTTATGTTTAACTGTTGGCTACATACTGCAATAGAGAATAAAGATGTTTTCAGTAATATTTCATAATCTCAAAGTTAAAAATGTGCATGTCAGTTACTTCCATGAAAATAATCTGTTTCCTCACCCTGCTGCCTGGTGCTTTGTTTCCTTTCTTTGCTGATAAAAGTATAACGGTGAAGACTCTGTTCTTAGTCTTTTGTACCCAGAGGTTTAGGAAATGGTAACATTTTTTTCTAAACTAAATGTTTTTTTTTTTTAAATGAACTGCATGGGACACAAATTTGTTTGGTTTTTGTTTTTTGAGACAAGGTTCCTCTTTGTGACAGCTCTGGCTGTCCTAGATCTCGCTTTGTTGGCCAAGCTACTCTTGAACTCATAGACATCCACCTGCCTCTGCCATCCGTGTTTTAGGATTAAAGGTGTGCACTACCATGCCTGATGCCTAAATTCCTAATATACAACTTTTGAATATTCTTAGTCACAAATTTTACATTGCTTGCCCTTTAAAGTGGTCTGCTTTTATTTTAAATATCCAAGGTACTTTCATTCTTAAAGAAATGATATTGAAATAAATAATAACCGTATATATATAGTTACATTTGTATTTTCTAGAGGAAAGGATTATTAGCAGACGTTATAGTGTCTTAACTATCCTGACGTGAACTTGCATGTTGTCAGTAGGCTTTGGGTTTATCCAGACACTCTGCTCTGTGTTTTCTCTAACCAGTTCTGAGACTGGCAAAGAAAATGATTTTTAAAATCAGACAGGCACTTGTCTCTTCCCTAGTAATTTCTACATTTAAATGTGTGTACTTACACATTTCTGTAAAAATGTGATAGGATTCAAGGAAAAAATGTCTAGCATGTTTTAACTAGTAGATTGAGTTTGGACCTGAGAGGTAACATCTTCTAAACGCCCACTACTTAAAAATTGCTGTTTCTGTTTTTATGTAATCTCAAATAAAGCAGTGTGATAAACACTTTTACAAAGGAAATCAACAATTTTATGCATATTTAATTCAGTTTTGGTGTGTGTGTTTACTGTAGTAAGAATGTTAATGATTTGCCTAAGAAACTTTTGAGAACCATAAAATACAATGAAATATTTCAGTTTTGTGTTCTTTTTTTATAGGTCATGGAAAATGGAAGATTTGCAAAATACAAGTATTTTACCCATGTCATGATCAACAAAACAGATATGTTCATGATAACGAGAAGGTAACTTCTTTTCCTTCTCTAATACAAGTGATAAGGTGCCAGGTTCCATGTTCCTCGTTTCTTTATTGTCACACTTGATTGCTGTAAACTCTTGTCATATGCTTAAGTTCAGCTTTGTGTGTGTTTGTAGATAAACACAGCCAGAAATCAACAGAATTATAGTTAAATATTTATTTCAGCTACTTCACTGTACAGAAATTGTGTAGAGCTTACCTCTCAGGTAGACTTTCCCCTCTAAATACCACTCAGTCCTCGTACTAAGGATGCATAGTTTACTGTCATAGCTGGTACACCCAGTGTGAAGAGAACATTTAGGAAGATACTCCCAGCTGTGGCTCCTCAGCAAAGCCTGCAGACTGGAGGGCCTCTGGGTGTTGTTCAGCATCTCCAGCAGTCCCAGACTGGCGGACAGGATGGGGAGGACTAAAGTAAGAGCATGACTGCCTTATGTCCCAGCCATGGGCTCTTTCCTTTTTTTTCTTTCTTTTCTCATTTTACATACCAATCCCAGTTTCCACTCCCTCGCCTTCCCTCCTCCCATTCTTTCCACCTTCCCCTCCATATCACCCCACATCCATTCCTCAGAGAGCATAAGGCACATTGCTTAGAGGCAGAATCAAGGCCGTCCCAACTATATTAAGACTGAGCAAGGTCTCCCCCAGTTTGCCCCAGTCATAAAACTGTCACCCACATTCAAAGGGTCTAGTTTGGTCTTAATGCTGGTTCCCTCACTGTCAGGCCAGAGTTGGTGAGCTCCCGTTAGTTTGGGTAAGCTGTTTCAGTGGGTGTCCCCATCATGGTCTTGACCTCTTTGCTCATAATCTCATTCCTCCCACTTAGGTTATCTATAAATGTTCCATGTGTGCTTGTAAAAAGAATAAAAAATAAAAGTAAATCTTTTATTTAAGTTTTATTAAGTTCTTCAGTTCTCAAAGTGAATCCTCTCTTCTTCTTCCCCTAGTGGTGTGTTGTTTGTAACAAAGGGAACATTTGGACAACTTACATGTGAATGGCAGTATAGTTTTGATGAGTTTACCAAAGAGCCATTCATTGTTCATGGGAGAAGATTGCGTATTGAAGCAAAGGTATGTAGAACAGACTTGTTTTTGATATTTATGTTTTCTAAAATAGTGCACTGAGATTGTCTCTGGTCTGTCTTTTATGAAGGCTTCTTTGTCTCAGGATAGCTTTCCTTAGACAATGTAATTGTAGTATCTGTGGAGGTGGGGGGAAGCATTTCTTTATTCTATTTCTGGGTTTTCTTTTTAATGAACTTTAAAATTCTGTTTGTAGGAACGAGTGAAATCTGTATTTCATGCCAAAGAATTTGGGAAAATAATTAACTTCAAGACTCCAGAGGATGCTAGGGTAAATATAATTAATCTTTTATTTAAGCCTCAAAGAAGCATCTCAATTTGAAGCCATATTTTTCGAAGGTAAATTTTGTTTAGGTCTTTTGTTTTTAACAGCTTTAGTACATATAATTAATGATATGTCCTTCAACCATCTTCAATATATTCAACACTCTGACTTTTTAAATCAAATTGCTCTTCATTTTTTTATTTTTGAGACGGGGTCTCACTATATAGTCCAGGATATCCTAGAACCCACCATTTTCCTTTCTCAACCTCTTAAGAGCTGAAATTACATGTTTCAGCATGTTCTCCTGTTAAATGCTGTCATACTTTAATTTTTAAAAGTCAGCAAACAAACACCAAGAATCATTCTGTTCTGGTGTTAATCTGTCCACTCCAGAAGAGAAAGTATAACTCTGTGTCGCTAATTTCTTTACTGTACAGTACAATGGTGTAACAAAACAAGAAAGAAACCAAGCCTGTGGTTAACAAGATAGGGTTTAGTATTTCTTCTCTTGCTTGCTAGCAGAACTTTGAAGGAAATCAGTTAACCTCAGTTTCTTTGGAATAGGAATTGTCTAACTGAAAAGAACTGCACATGCTTTGGGTCATGACAAGAAATAAAGGAAACCTGTGAACTGATATCACATTAGTCAGAGCTAAGACCCTGTTCTCATGCAGCAGTGGGCTGTTTGGAGCAGCTCATCTTAAGAGCCCTGGACCTTTCACTTCATCCCTGCCTCCTGCCTTCTTACCACATTCTCCAGAAAATAGTGATCCAGTTCACTTGTCGCGTCTAGACACTAGTAGCTCTCCTCCTACATACCGTGGACCAGTTAGCGTATGCTATGCAATTTAACACATGCTTTGCAGTTTCTATCAAGGTATTATGAGTAAAGACAACATTGGTGTACTAGTCATAGGAAAGGTAAATGAATTACTTAGAAACAGGAATAAAACACTGAAGTTTTAATATATTTATGACCTGGAACTAGGAGACAGAGTAGAAATAATACCTGAACTTTTCCTTGAAGGTAGACTTTATTACTGCTTCAATTTCATTAATTTTTTATTGGACTGTGTGTGTGTGTGTGTGTGTGTGTGTGTGTGTGTGTGTGTGTGTGTTTCAGTCTTGGCAAGGTACATGCATCTTGAATTTATATATGACCACTATTTTGGTATATAGCTATTCATAATAATCTCTGATGATATTTATTTCTGTGGTGTCATTTTGTTTGTAATGTTATTTCTGGTTCTGAGTCTTCTTTTTATTACATCCAAGAACTGGTCTAATTTGTTTATATTTCCAAAGAGTAAAGACTTCATTGATTTGTTTGTCTCCCTGTCATTTATTTGTTTTGATTCTTACTTTTTCCCTCTAACTTGGAGTTTGACTTGTTTTTTTCTGCTTCCTTAAAGTATTGTAAAATGATTTATTCTCTGTGTTCATGTTGCTTTGTATCAAATTCTAATCTTTCTTTTTCTATAAGTATAGCTACTCCTGATTTCTCCTGAATTCCATTTGCATGAAATATCTTATTCTATCCCTTCACTTGTAGTTCATATATGTCCTTAGAGATGAATGTATTTCTTATAAATAGATTTGGGTTTGGGGTTGTGTGGGTTACTTAATCTAGTCAGTCACACTGTCTTTTACTTGGAGTGTTTAATCCATTTATATTCCACATCATTATTCATAGGTGAGGACTTAATGCAGCCCATGTAAAACTTGAGTTTAACTGTCATGGCTGTGCCCTTCTCCCCAACAGACGGTATCTTGCTCTGTGCTCTGCTGCCTGAAGTTGGGGGAAGAGTGGTATTGTAATCAGTCACCTAAGCATAGTTCCATTGGCCCAGTGACCAGGAGTTAGTTGGGGTTTCACTGTGGTATGGCATGATTGAGTTTCAAGACTAAGACCTGTGCTAGGCTGTCTTGCCCCTGAGGGAGGGACATCTTTCTATGCTGAGTTGATTGAACTTGAATTACAGTGTGGTGTGGCATCGCTTACCTTCCTTCTTAGATGTCTTTTTGTTCTTCGTACTCAATAATCAGGCATATGTCGCACCTGACTTCTGTAGCTCTTGTAAAGGCAGTTTGATACCTGAGTGGCTGTTCAACTTGGTGGGAGACAGCCACCAAAGGATCTTATTTAGCTGCCTTCTAAATCTTTTGGAAATGGGACCCAGCTATTTCACAACTTTCACTTGTCATGCAGATCCCACAGTCATGGGCATTGCTCATAGAAAGGTTTGTATTTCATTTCAATAATTTCTAGTCCTTTCAGCATAAATTTTTATCCTGAGAAGATCAAAACTGCTCAAAGATGTTACTGTGCTACTCCCAACTACAGATTCTTTGTCCTGCTTTAACTGAAACTCCTACATACAGAATGGCGCAAAGTGGAAAGAGCTTTGCAACAATACTGACTTTTCAGACAATGTCAGTTGTCTAATCACCAAATTATAGTTTTTCTGGCAGAATAGTTTATTGTACTTTTTCTCAAGATGATCCTTTAATTCCCAAGGTGAATGTCTTCTTCCAAGGACTTTAGAGAAATGCTGTCCTCTGAGCTCCGGCCTGTGTCCGTGCTCTCTGCTGCAGGCTGTAGGTTCACTGTTGGCTGTCAGCTTATGCCTAAATGTAATGTTGGCTTTGAGATTTCTACTCATTATGTTTTGTTTCATCACAAGTTCATTGAGATTAGTAAATGTTGCTTTATTTCTCCCCAACAGTGGATCCTTACAAAGCTGGAAGAAGCAAGAGAACCATCTCCGAGCCTGTGAAGAGGGAATGCAGCCTGGAGGGACAGCAATTGTTATTACAGTTCCTTGCTGTACCTTCTCACCCCTGTGGAGAATAGGAGTCATTCCAGGGATCCTATGCTTTTAAATGCGTTTAAAAAAAAAAAAAACAAAAAACAGAATCAATTGGGTTAAACAGCTATGTGATTAAAATACTAGAAGGTCCATTCAGTTTCCTAATCTGAATCATGCATCTGGTTATGATTCTTTTTTATAAAAAGAAGTGTTTACTTCAGGGTATTCTCAGTAGTAGTAGACAGATTGCTCAGTCTTCATGTCAAGCAAAATGTGGTTTCCCAGTTAATACTGTAAACTTCTCTCAGGCTTCCTTTGTCTCCCTAAGTGACGGGAAATGATCAGATTAAGCACTGCCTCAGTAGTGACATGAAAACTTTGGTAATTTCTTCAGAATCATGAAGTTCTTTTTACAAATAAATATTTTGGTATTTTCCTTATTTTAAAAAATGGTTTGGATTATACTAAGATGCATAGTATAACTGTGAAAAACAATCTTTTTTGAGATTGGACATAATGCCCCTTGAATCACAGACAGAGAGGCTTTAAAAACTGAGTATCATACCCCAAAAAAATGGTACAATCTTTCTAGATCTTTAGAGCCTTGGAAATATTTCCTCAGGGAAACCCCATGGATTTACCCAGTTTGTGTTGTTAATAGATGGTTGTTTTTAAAGTAAAAATTTACAGCCTTAATATTGCTTACCTTCTGTTTACTGGTAACAAGAATTTAAAAATGCAAAAAAAATAAAAGCTCTTGCTGGCATCTTAGCGCTAATGAATTATGCTCTGGAATAAAGAGCTCTTATCATGAGTTAAAGGACAAACCCTAAAATCTAACCAGTAACCCATCCTATTGTCTTGGATTAAGAATTTCAGGTTTGCCTACTCTCTAGTTATTCAGATGAGAAACACTTAGTTAAAAATACAGGCTCGTCGCTACAAAAGTTCCACACTCCATCTCAGTAAAAAACAAGGTTACAGGTTTTTCCCCCTTTGGTTTTAATCCAAGATCTTTGCTCTTTACTGTGACTGGACTGTTTAAAGTGAAACAGAATGATTGTCCAATTGTGACCTATAAACAGAATGTCTTAATTGGTTATTGAATACACACGGTGTTCAATCTATATTGTAATGTTACCAACTTGTTATAAACTGGTGTTGAAATTGAAGAGTTTTGCTTGGTCACTGGGTATTTAATCTACAGGTTTGTGAAGTCTCTTGCTTTACTGTACAACCTGGAATGAATAGCATGCAAGTCTGTACCTGCAGTTGTTGCTGCCCAGATCCTGCTATTGTTACCATATGATTTCACAGAACACATTGTTATTGGTGGTGTCCCCCAGAATGCTTTCTCTGCTAAACATAAGTTGAATCAAAAGATGACACATCTCCAATTGTTGTAGTTATGCCTCCCTAAGATGACCTTTCTTCAAGGTAGGGTGTAAGTTTTCTCTGTTGCTGAGCCCCTCCAGGTTTGCAGATTAAACCTGCAAGGAGAGGTCGGTATCATCTCTGTATCTGGAATGTTGCTTTCTGGCACTGCAGTCACTGCCAATAATTAAATACCTCATTAGTTACTTCTTTCATGAGTTCAGAAAAATTAGATCCATAACTCTTCAGGTATGCCATGGCAAAGTGCAAAAGTAATAGTTAGCATAGCGGCTCTGTGTCTTCTGGCAGCCAGCAGGATGGGTTTTATAACTGGTGCACATACATAGCTAATGTGCCTGTTCTCCTTGTTCCTGTATCAATAAAAACTGAGAAATAGCTCCTGTTCCTTATGAATCATGTGCCTATCACCTCCTCCCATCTCTCTCTGACTACCTCCTCCCATCACTTTCTGACTGTGCACTAGAAAGACACAGGTTGTTCTAGGATAGTCTGTGTCTAAACAACTATGAAAACTAGGAACACTAACCGCCATTGACATAGACAAGACATTCACATGATATTTTATGATTTACAGTTATGTGTTTGAGTCAATAGTCGTTTTCAGAATCCAGATCTTTTGAGAAAAATCATCCAGGAATCATAGTATTCAGATTTCTCCAATAGCTTCACTTTCACTGTGTGTGAGGGGGCGGGGGTGGTCTTCCCTGGCATCTGGAGTCCTGGGGTTTTCCATTATTTCTATCATAATCATCTCCTTCCAGTGAGTATCACTATGCCAGTATCTAATCTGTTAAAAGCATCCACAGGTTGGTGCCCCATTCCTACCAGGTTTTTAAAAAAATTTAAAAAAAAATGCTCAACCCTGAATTTCCTGTACTTTGGATCACTATGTTGGTTCATTCTTTAGTTCTGCTAATTGCTCCCTTGCATAGACCTCTGCATTAGAAAGATGAAGACAACGCATGTGCCATATATACTTACAGGTGTCTGAAACTATCAGGTCTGTCTGTCTGTTCTCCAGGTTTTTTCTTTTTGTTTACCTCTGATGCAACTGAAATCCTCAACGGCAGTGTTTTTCAAATTATAGGTCTTAACCAATGGGTCATTAAGTCACCTTAATAACTAAAGACAATCATATTTTAAAAATTGAATAGTAAAGAAATACAGGAACAAGAGAACACATAAAAACAAATACTCTTTTCTGTTTATAATTTAAAAATCACATTTTAGTGTTAGATTTTTTTTTAAAGTGAATAAAAAGCCTGAAAGCCTAGGTCTGTCTGGAACTGCTGGAACTGTGGCCATGCCCACGGCTCCCTCCCTGGAAACAGGCTGGTTTCAGTTGTTTCTTAGCTCATAAAGAGCAGGCTCAGAGCACAGTGGTCACCTTTAGGATGAGAAGTCAGGAGAAAGCTTGTTCTACTGTATGAAATATTTTACTTCCCTTTCCTCGTAGAAGATCCGTGAAACCAGAAAAGCATAGAAAATTAACTTGACAGATGACACCCAAAAAGACCAGAGGCTGGTAGAGGTCCTTCACTTCAGGGCGTCTAACCCCCATCTGTCTTCAGTCTGGCTCATCATGCAGGTGGTAAAGAGCCTGACAAACCGGTAGCTAACCATTATTGTAGACCTGGAACACCCACCTGCTGAGGGTGCCATACAAACAAATATCAGTGCATTTTAACTAAAATACTGCATTTATTCATCTCCATAAGACCTAAGTAGAAAAGGAAGGCTTGCATTTCTTATATCAGATTATTCCAAATTCATCAGTCTGTTTCCCACTGGTGCTGCATAGAATCACATATCCTTCCTCAGTCTAGAAAAGAACCTTTGCCCTCTGCCTGATCTTCTGGATATATTTTTGAAGTTTTACTTCATTGTTAATGTTAAAGCATCTGAGTTTACACTAGTTGGCTAGATTGTGTTTTTTTATGATCTGTTGTATATAGTGTAGAGGGGTAAGCACTATACCCAACAACATGACTTCCTCCACTGACCTAGAAGATGGTGCCTTGCTAAATGAGAGGGGGCTGTGTCTTATCAGAAGCCCTGCTAATGTTTCTTCAATTAAAACCTTTTCTATTTGTTGCCTCTTTTGTAAAATAATCTCATGTAATTTAAAAGTACTTTTACTTTAGCATTAAAGGTTCTTGATTTTTCTTAAGCATTACATCATTCTTTAAAAGAGGAAAATTTGATTAACCCAAAGCTGGACACATAACAAATGTAGCTTCAGATTTTACAGGTCGATATGAGTATATTTTCAAACTTGAGTTTTTTTTAATACAGATATCAATTTGAGTTGTAGTTGTAACACCTGCTGTGATCTCTATCAAATTGCCTCGATTTAAAACCTGTCATTAAATACGTTTCTGCCGTAGCAGTGCTTCCTTCTAGTAAACTGTGTAGCAAGGACCCTCGTGAGGCTGTGAGAATGAAAGTGTCTAATGACTAGAAGTGTTACCACAGCAGAGCGGGGTGAAACCCTCAGTGTTTATGATGTCCTCCTGCCACCATTGTTTAATTGACTGCATACAAGTTGCCAGTGTTTGGGCAGGAAAGCATTTCAAAAAGCAACATACTATAGCTTAGAAAGAATATTCTCAGTATCAATACACACAAGCCCACCAATAATTATAAATTATATTTAGGACTAAATTATATTTAGGACCATTTTTTAAATGGTCATCTCTGTATACAAGTGTATTACAGTTAATGAAATTTTGGGGGAAGATAGTATTTAAAAATACTATCTTGCTAGTTTTTTAATTGTACAGTTCCACTTCTATGCAATGTCCAGACTAGTGTCTATTTTCATATTGACTTAATAGCCTGTGCTTCTTTGAAATGTTTGTTATTATTTGTTAAAAACATGACCATTGGTTATTATAGGTTTTAAAGTATTCCTCATTGCATCAGTATTTCCTGTTCTATTCCTAGTATCTCTTGTATGTAAACATGACCTAATTATCTATTACACTGTGGTTGCCGAAGTTTTGTGTATTTTGATATAGTCTTGACACAGGCATTTCAAATGAGGTTCTTATTTTTAAAACTAATCTTAGTCTTTTTCTTTCTAAAATACTAACACTTGAAACATTGCATGCTAAAATGACTACCCAGTGTAACCATATGTGAGTCCAATAAAGCTTTCTGGTCTTCGGTCTGTTTTGATTATTGAATAGAACCAGGAACATTCACCTTCTCTTTCCTGTCCAAAATCTACCTCTGTGTGGCCCAAGTCCCTCCAAGAGATCAGTGTCCTGACTTTTTAGTTGAAGTGGATAGCCTTCTAGCCAAGCGTGCTCACCATTGACTGAAAGTTTGAAGAAATACCTGGTGAATGGTTAGCCACCAACTTCAGATGGCTAATTTTTTCTGTCAGTTGTGGTGAGTATATTTTAAAAAGATAGGCTAAGGGAGAATTTCTGAACAACTAATTAATATTGACAGAAATCACTGACTCACTCCTGATATGGAGAGTTAACTTTGCTGTAACTGAAAAGAGTATTTGTTACCACCCTTTGATTTATTCCACACCTTTCTTGCCTTAAAGTCATCACTTTGTATCAATCAAAGGTTAAATTGTTAATAACTCAATGCTAAAAGGTACTCGATGTAGTGATATTTTGTTTATGTTTTAAGAAGTAAAGCTTGCCTGAAGATCAGAGTGCAGAGCTAAGCCACTAGAGATCAGGGAGTGGTGGCACACACCTTTAGTCCCAGGACTTGGGATATAGAGGCAGTGGGATCTCTGTTAGTTTAAGGCCACCCTGGGCCGCACAAGATTGAATCTGTCTAAAAGAGAAATAGAGCTCACACAAAGGTGACCTTTAATCCCAGCACTAGGGAGGTAGAGACAGGAGTGATATGGCTGAGTAGAGAGGAATCTAAGGTGTGGTGGAGACAGTTACAGTCCGAGGATAACCCGTGCAGCGGACAAAGTCTGAGGACAGGATCGCCCCTTTGGTTTGAGCACTGCAGAGGTAAAAGGTCTCTAGTGCCTGGCCGCACTACCACTCTGCTCCTTCAGCTTTCACCCCCTAATATCTGACTCCAGATTTCCTTTATTCACACCAATTAGAATGCATGCTACAACTTGAAAAGAGAATCCCACATTGCTTAACATCCTTAATTCTGATTCTGTCGATATGCTTCTTTTTAGATTAATTGGCTAATGAGACTAGTTAATCACCTTTAACCATTGGTGAATGTTGTCTTTGATTTTAAATATCTTGATGAGCTATCCCTTTGTCTTTCTCTTAATGGCTACATGTTTAAACAAATTTTAGCATCCATTTGTCCAGTTCATGTGTTAAGATTGGCTTTCAAAACCTAGTGCTACTTTGGTAGAATGTGTTTACCCTTGGAATTGTTCCAACAAGTTGACAATCTGAAGGTCCGGTAACTGAGTATAAGAAAGGCTTAGTTCAGCTCTAGGAATTTAAACATGGGGTTCTGCAACAGATATAGCCAATCTGAGAATGTTTATACAGACTCAACTAAGTAAACCTACAGTGGCTGGAAGCATCGAGACTGAAAATGCATAATGGTATACTGACCCTCTGGAACATCCAATCAAGCAGTGCACCACAGAGAGGTTACTGCTTTCACCATGACGTTACTGGCTCACTGGGAACTGCAGCTTACTGCCCATCATCTCAAGAGAGTACCAGGTCAAAAATTATTAGCCTGAGAAAGGATCAAAATTCAAAGTACAGTTCCTCTTGGATCTATGTCACTTTCTCACTGTTATAAAGGCTAAAGCCTTATAAGTTAGAGACCCTTTGAAGAATTCTGGGAGGTAGATACACCCTGAGTACACACATACCTCCCAATGAGCAGTGGAAACAAAGCCATCAGTTTGAAGGCCTTCAGTCTGAACCACCCTACTTCCTGGGGATCGGGATCTGCTCTGTTTACTGAGCCAGCTATGAAGGATCTCCAGCATATAGAGATGAAGGAAGACTTATTTCAAAAGGGGGAAACAGGAAACTGCTGAGTTGTTGGTAAGACTGTGACATTTTTCTTTTAAATAGAACCATCCACGAGCTCCAAGAAACACATCATCATCAGTGCTCTTGGTAGAACAGTATATTCTCAGTATCCAGAAAGGCACAGTGTACACAGTTCAGACATAGCAGATTTGTGATTACCATCAGTTTTGGCAAGGCTTACATGACATTTGTTAAACAGGTTATACTTTAGCCATTCCATAAGTTTATAAAGACCTGATCATACGCATTAAGATACACACATGCACTATCTAGAGTCCATTTCTCCTCTCTCGGTGTTGTCTTCACCACCAAATTGTGGCAAAATTAAATTAGAAGTTGGGATAATATTAATTTGGCTTAGAAAGTTGACAAGAATAGAACTGCTTGGTTTTTTTTTTTCTTTTAAGAAAACTTTGCTGGGGGCTTGCACAGCACCTGGGTTCCATCCCAAGCATCACATAAGCTGATCGTGCTGACATACATCTTAGCACTTACTAACCTGTAAATATCAATGTCAAAATCATACAGTTTGAGACCTCTTGATGTCAGGAATAATTAGCAACAGGGTGAAAACTCTCCTGCCCTAATTAGGCTATATATATGAAGACAAGAGAATCAGAAGTTCAAGGTCATCCTCGACTGTGTAGTATGTTTGAGACCAGCATGGAATACATGAGATCCTGTCTCAGAAAAGAAAAAAAAAATCTTAGCTGAACACCAACAATTCCAACAAACACTTGGGGAGTCCAGGCAGGAGGATCAAGGCCATCCTCAATTACATATAGCAGATGTGGATTGGAAGCCTGCCTGGGTCACTTAAGGCCTTGCCTTTAAAATTAAAGAATTAAAACAATCAGGGGCAGAGGTGGGATGCATAGAAAGAAGTCTTTGGTTTTTTGGTACAAATGTTAGATGAGGGGAAGAAATGTTAGAAATACCTTTCAAGGTTTGTTTAAAAATCATTAACTCTATTAAGATTTCTTAATCACTCAAATTAATCCTAGAGGTCTGAAGGCATGACCTGTAAATTAACAAGTCCCCTCTGTTGGTGATCTGAATAGTGATTGGACACTTCAGTTTAAAAGGGGGAGGGGCATCACAGTAGCCTTGTGAAATTTTATAAAATACCCAACTCAGAAATTATGCCTGACCTCACAGCCAAAAGGTAAGTAAAGACAAGAGTTGATGACACTTAAAGGGGTGGGTCAAGCAAGTATCCTTGAAGTTACACTATCCATCTCTGTCCCTGTGGGCTACGTAATGTCCTTGGAGCCTGACCCAGAGATCACCCTTTGTCTGGGAGGAGTGGGTCACAGCATTTACACCAAGTTGAATTCCCGTAGGTTTAGCTGTAGGATTGTGTCTTTGACAGCAGCAAACACAAAGCGGATATTCTCAGTGTCTGTAGCACATGTGAAGTGAGAATAGATGACCTTCTCTTTGTCAGGATTCTGGTCTTGATACAGCTTCAGGATAAAGTCCCTGGCGGCTTTGACATCCTGCTTTGGTCCTGCTCATGAGAGGAATAAAGATACAGACTCACCATCATGTCCTCCCACAATCCATTTTTAATGTATTTTTGTTCTTATTTGGGATCCTTTTTATTTAGTATCTAAGGAAAGGTTACCTGGAATAATTATTATATTTCATATGAATCTATAAAATGTTTTAAAAGTATTTTGCATTTTATGGAGTATATGTGCATGTATACATGCATGTGCCCAGAGAACAATTCCATTTTATCGTCGGGAATGCCATGCACCTCCATTGACAAGATCTTTCTTTGGCCTACAGCTCACCAACTAGGCTAGACTGACTGGCCAAAAAATCCCAGTGGTCTCCCCTGCCTTGACTCTGTGATTTTAAGTTCTCATTATCATGCCTGGCTTTTTTAGGTAAATTCTGAGGATTAAACTTGGTCCTATGCTTGCTTCCAAAGCAAATGTTTTTACCAACTGAGCCAGCCATTCCCTCGCCCAATGTTTGGTCTTTTTAAAGTGTCTACTGGTATCTAAAAATTGTACTGTCAAGTGATTTGTCTAAAAATAGTGGCCTAGTTTTGTTTTCTAACCACTAACTTGTACAGACAGGCAGCTGTGGGCTGGGGGAGGGGGGTGTGGCACAGAAACTAATGTTATTAGTTTGGTTTTAAAGCCTGACAGTTTGAAACTACACTGCCAGTGTTTAATCAAAGGAGGGGTATGCTAAAACACTAACATGTAATACCAATTTCAAGAGTATACTATTTGAGACATCTTGTGCCAGGAGTGATTAGTGAGCATGAGAACTGTCCTGTCTTGAGCAGGTTACATACATAAAGACTCCAGCACCCCACAAAGCAGCATGTGCTCTGACTGAAACTGCAGGAGCCAGCTCTGAGAGGGAAAGCTGAGTGAATGCATAAGCAGCAGAATGACCAGGCTGCCAGAGCAACAGAAAGGGGTAACACCCTAGTGCAAGCTGTAGACAGGTGCAGAAGGGTTTCCTAGGTGTGGCGCCCAAGTTGGGGCCTGACTAGTCAAGTGGAGTAAGCCAAATGAGTTGGCAAATGTATTCAGGCCCTTGCAGTGGCAGGTGTTGAGGTGAAAACACTATGAGAAGTATAATAAGAAGCGAGAATGTGAGAGCCATCAGGGAGTCCCCAGAAAGCCATACTGAAGACTGGAGAATCAATGAGGCTGGTGTGAGAGCAGCATTCCCCAAATACTTACCTGTGTATTCTGGGAAATAACTAATTAGGTGAGAGTACATGATTTTCTCTTCCAAAAGATCCTTCTTGTTTAAGAACAAAATTACAGATGAGTTCAGAAACCAGGGGTAGGTGATGATGGTTTTAAACAAGGCTTTACTCTCTTCCATACGGTTCTAGTGAGAAACCAAGTTAGGATAAGTCAGAAAGAAAAGTAAGGCTTGGAAACAGCATGTTAGGAGGCTGGGTACGTCCATCAGTCCTCTCCCCTTAGGGTCACTGTTCTTATAATGGCAAGAATGCAGGCCCATCAGACCTGTTACTGTTTGCCCTTCCACCCTGCCCCTCCCCCACACACCTGATTTTCTCAGCATTTTTGGAGCACTAACTCTTCTCTTGCCCTAAACAAGGTTCTTGTGCAAACTTGGAGCAAAAAGTTTATGTTGTTAGACAAGGTGTTTGTGTTCTGTAACTGT